ATATGAAAATGATAAATCTCATCGATCGCTTCGTTATAAAATGTCGAGCGAAAAGAAAAGACCCTTCGGCCCTCGTTATTTCCGCCTCGTAGTTGTACTTTCGATCGATCGAAAAAAAACAAATAAACAATTTAGTTTCAATAATGAAAAGAAAGAAATTGAACTTTTAATTATCTTCCAATAAATTGTCGATAAATATATATATATATATATATATATATATATATATAATATGGCTGTATATAAAAAAAAGTACAATTGCGGGGAGGAAAAGATACAACGCTCCTGCTTAAACTAGGCTAGAAAGCTAGAAATAGGTTTTTGACGGGAGCGCTCAACTATCGCCGCGCGAAAAACGTTCTTTCACTTGGAATTATCTCGCCAATCTTTCGAAAATGAAATTTCAGCATTTTACAAATTTTAAGAATGTTTCTTCTGCATGAAAAAGAAAAGAAAAAGAAACGACAAATAACGTTAACCCTTTAAAAAAAAGAAAAAAAAAAAAAAAGAAAGAAAAAAAAAGGAAACTTAAAACGCCAATCTATGTTTGGTAATGTAAGAGATCTTTTTCTTCTGATCTTTTTTTCTTTTTGCACGGACGAATTCCTCAAACATTCTATCGATAATCGATAGAATGTCATTTTCTCTAGAATAATGCGTTCGATTTTACGCGAACCCCTTCAAGACGAGCAATCAAAAAACATTGAACCCGTTCGGGACATATCATAAAATTTTTATAAATTTAAATTAATAATTAAAGGGTTAAGGTGCCTAGAACGACTAGATTGCACATACGAGTCGTAGATGAATATGCGTAATAAGCAACGTTTCCTCGTTATTAATGGTATTTGCGATGAGTGCATTTAAAAATGCATTTGTGCAATGACCAAAGAAACGGGGAAATGAGTTTACGGCATCGCTGTGTATTACAGATATAAATATATAGACAAGAATCAAACAAAATTCTTTATTTTATCGTAGCAGAAAAATCGTTTAGATGACATTACCTCGGCTAAAATTTTGACGCCGAATCGACATGATCTAATAAATAAGTATTTTTTAGAAATGACATACATTGATAAAATTAGAGGACACTTAATAAGAGTGATATAAGCGCTCTAAAGTTTAAAAAAAAAAAAAGAAAAGAAAAAGAAACACTCAACGCATAAAGCTTTCTCGCTGCTTATCAACACGTTTGAACGTCAACGTTTAGTCGGATTTAATTGAGCGAATAAAATATTTTATTCTCGATGCCTGTCCACGTGAAACAAGTAGGATCGCATAAGATTATATTATTTTTCATTTGAATTCTTTATTATAAGCTTTAATCTTGTACTTTAATAATGTCTCGAGTGCATATTGATTCGAGCTAGTCACGTTATTAGAAAGAAGATTTTTCGAATAAATTTTCAAGCATAATAAATGGACATTAAAAAGAGTATCGTTTTAATGATACATATCTATATAATTGGATCGTTGTGTGTAAACTTTCACTTTGGAAAAAGATAACGAACCTGAATGGCCTTCTTTATCCCTTTTGCAATAACTTTCAAATAATTGTTATTTCCACATTTTTATCCAAAAAATCTCGATGTTCTAGTTCTTACCGATTATACTAATCGTGACTCTCGTACCATTATGCACTCGTAAAGTCGCCAAAAATTGAACAGTATTATTATCCTCAGCGATAACGAGATTTTAAAGAGATTGTGCAAGAGAAAAATGAGAAAAAAAACAGAGAGAGAGAAAGAGAGAGAGAGAGAGAGAGAGAGAGAGAAATCATGCATGGCTGCGCAAGAAAAAAAAGAGAGAGAGAGAGAGCGAGAAAGAGAGTGAGGAGTAAAAGAAGAGTTTGCAGGAGAACGGAGGGCCGTAGGGTTGCAACCATTCCCCGGGAGTACGATGCAAATGATTAACTCGATGAATGAAGGGTGGAGGGGGAAAAAAAGGAAGAAGCTGGTCCCTGGCAGTTTCCCGGGCGGCCTCCATTATTAACGATTAATTACATTTTTGTACCTAGCTGCTAGTTTTGTACTAGTTTTCTAACGTACCTCACAATGGACGTGCTGTTATTACATGTTTTAAACGGTTGTTAAAGAGAACAAAAAAGAAAAAAAAAAAAAAAAGCAGAACATACGTTGATCGATCACTCGTACGTACTCGTAATAACGTGTTGTAATGTTCGGCTCGGTGTGTTTATCGAGTAGGTATCATTTATTTCGCCTTTGTGACGAAAGAAAAGAAAAAAAGAAAAAAAAATAAAATACAAAACACTTTTTTCCAAAGGTGTTCGGTACTTAAAGGTGGAAAAGGGAAAAGGAAAAAAAGGAAAAAAAAAATGAAAATAACAAAAAGAAAAAAAAAAGAGAAAGAAAAAAAGAAACACAAATCAGTGCTTTTGCGCGTTGACAGACAAATACCCATTTCGATTAATAATCGAATATTTAGCGAAGCAACGAACTTATTCGACGCTGCTTTGTAAGATTCTTTCTTATTAATCGCCAAGAAGCATTTAAAGTGACATCATCACATTGCGACTATGCGATTAATTGTGCTTTGAAATGCAACGCGATTGATCGGGAATGTTTTACAGTTGTGATAGGATTGAATATATATATATATATATATATATATATATATATATATATAGATGCAAGCGAAATCGACACACCAGTCGGAAGCTTTCGTCGATCGTGCGAAAGATAACGAAAGGGATATTCGATCGTATGGATATATGTGATCGGTCGACTTTTTTTTTGCAGACCTACGTAAAGCTTTCGTCTGCGTCTGGATCATCAAATACATTGTCTTTTACACGGATATATGTGTATGTGTAATCATAATGAAAGATTTCTTAGGGTGGAAGCATCTTAAGATATATAAAAACGTAAAAATTGGAAGGATGGAACGGGAAAACAAAGGTACGATAACGGCTCAATGATTAGTATGCCTCCACCCTAAAATTCTTTGTGAACATTAAAGATTATGGAGAAGTATTTATCACGGTGGACTTAGAAGCAATCCCGGTCGTCCGAAATTAATGATGTGTACACAAAGATGCGTTCTGGCGTGAATGACGCGAGATGATAATGGTACAATATTAATGATTATTGTCCTAGAATCTAGAATATAGTGAAAAGAAGATTCCAAATAATAAACAGCGAGGGCATAGATGCAAGAAAAATGTCATTCTTTTGTGTCATGCAATTCGACGTTTTGTTCATTATTCTTTTTAACCCCACCTCCTGAATTTTCATAAGCCTCAACGATATATTCGGTTATCGATCTTCTATATCGCGAGCAATAGATTTATTGCTATCAAAGTATTACCCTACATTTCACCTAATTTCTCGATCGTTACTAAGTGGAATAGTTTGTTAAGTCTGATTAAAAATTACTTCGACAAGATTGTAAAAGATTCGTCAGTTTATTTTAGAATAACTGACTGACCTCTTAGACTCCAAAGTGCAAAATACGAATTATCGCCCAATAGTATCGCACCGCGAATGTTACAAAATTGATCGATAGCCGAATTGAATGTTTGTATATGAATCGAACGTTCTTTTTTTTTTAAACGTTATTCAAAGAATGTAGGTCAAGTAGTGAAGCAGTTCTTGTACCGCATCCGCCGTATAAATACGCTTCAACCTACAGCTTCACACGGATACACCGTAAGCACAAACGTACTCTCGAGTGTGTCCGTCCTGACACGGAGTAGTACTACTTACTGGTTCGACACACCAACCAACCATTAGTCAATACTTTACGTTAGTCGATACACGTTATAAACTACTGCCAACGCTTTCGATATATCTATATAGTCTCCTGATATAAAATTATCCAATTTATGATCTTCTGTCAGTGATAATACTGTTTATTACCCACCCGTTTATTATAATATAATCTTATCTACGGGAGAAATATAGATACTTAATTTTCGTAATTATCTTTTTCCTTTTATTTTTATTTATTTTTAATACTTCTAATATGAAATAAAAAGCATGCAAATAGAAAAAACAAATGCTCAAAAAAAAAAACAAATCCTGAACAGCTAAGCATTAAATATTTCGAATAAAATTTACTTCGTCTATTAATTATAAATAAAAAAAAAAAAATACAAAAAAATAAACTAAACACAATAACATGCATCGTTCTAACAAATTTTTTTCTAATAAGAAAGAAGCCAGAATAAGAAAAAAATTAAACATTTAAATTAGAAACCAAGAAAATTAATAAATTAATTATATTTCTTTTCAACTCGATATTAAAATTGTTATTAAATAACTGATTCAATGATTCAATGATTCGTATTATATTAATACGAGTTCGTTCAAATGAATTCATTTTACGTAGAACTATTCTACGTAATAGTATAGACGTATACTAATTGAGAAACGAAATATAATTCGCATTAGTTTTGTAGAAATTAATGATCCATTTCGAATACGTTAATACAGACGTAATTTTTTTCAACAAAACATTCAAACGAGTTGTGTTTACGAACTTTCAAAGTGAAAGTGGTTTTCTTTTTTGAATGTTTCTAAGTTAATAATCTATTCGTACCAGGAACAAAATGCAACATTTTAATACAATCGCATGCAGCAAAGAGTATAATAAAGTTGATGAAAAAGGGGCAATTTACGTAAAAGGAATATGAATTCATAAGTATATTTACAGATCTATAAATGTACACTCATCGTCATTCAAAATTATATCTATACGCATACTTGATATCGTTCTTATGTTATCCAGAGAAAAATATAGAATATTACGTACTCTAAAGTCATATATAACATATGGCGTGATTATATTATACGATTTTAATGAAAGATAACTTTTTAATCTGATTTCTGGTTATCGTGTAGTAGCTTGATTTATTTAATGCATTTTCTCTTAATTAAAATCGTGCATTTTAAAGTTCGTAGAATATTAAAGTAGGATACATCGTAAGGACATCAAATGTTATATTTATTTATTAATCGTAATTCATAATAATACTAATAGTAATTATATAATATTACATCAGAGACATACAAAAAATATCTACACTGTTTGTTATATTTTCAAAGATATAGAAATTATTCAAGTTGTCTTTTTAAATGTTTCATATAATAGATCGTTTATTTAATCATGAATTGTATCGTAATAATATATCCTTCAATCTCAATACTTATTTTACTTTATCATGACAAAGTTTTCATTACAAATATTTAATAGGATCGCTAACATAAATGATAATATATATCTCTGCATTACCGACATTCCACAGGAGCCCCTTTTGACCCAGTATTTTGTAACGCTCCTGAATATTCGTAGTTTTACATTATATTCCTTATAAATTACGAAACTTTCGAAATGTTCTACTAGGTAGCGCTTCGATCATCGCAGATTTTGATCTATTTTATAATAATTTTTTACTAATTGTTATGATTAAGATACTGAAACTAATTATTTATATTAAAAATTTGATCAATTATATCAAATCTAAAACAAAATGTAAACTATTTTTATGACAGCATTTTATCAAATAAAATATTGATATACTGTAATTTTATTATATTCTTATTAAGTAAAGAAAATTCCTTTAAAATTGTAAAAATACATTGTCTTATAAAATATCAAGTATATAGTAAAAAATTTCTTCCATTTTTACATAAATGTCTATTACATTTTTATTTTCTAATATGATTCTGTTGTAAAATTTTATAGCATACAAACTAAGTTTGATTAAAGAATATTTATTTTGATGATGTATTATATGATTCTCTAAAATCTTTAAAAAAAAATCTTACATAGCTTGTACATTCTTATAATTTTTTAATAATAAATATGCCATAATTATGTTTGCATTATTAATTTTAAATAAATATTGCATATTACTAACTTAATATTTTCTTTATGTATAGCTTTACAACAATAAAATAAATTTCATTGATTTTAATAAGTCTGCTTACATATGTAATATTAAAAGTCAAGACCATAATGGTATCCATCGTGTCTAAGCTTTACTGTAACAATTAAATGTATTTTTACAAATATATTATATTTTAATCAGAGAGATTTATATAAAATTTATCTAAGAGAATTTGCAAATTGATGCATTACTATTAAATATTATTGATAAAGAGAATAAAAGTTTATAAAATAAATTGCATAGTAAAATAATCTATAAGTATCATATAGTATAATTATCATTACTGTAATTAATAAAATTGTACTTTTTATAAATTACAAAACAAGATACAATACATAATCTTTTATATATTTATTAATAAGTGCAAAAAATAATAGTAAAGAACATACTTGAATTATACTAATGTTATTGTTTTTAACAATAAAGCAATTAAATTAAATTCCTAAACATGTTGGAAATGCAATTCTATTAAATGTCAAGTAAAAAAAAAAATGTTTACTGCAATAATATGCAATCTTCATGTTCCAACTTTTTTATATTATAATTATAATTATATACGCAAATATACATCCATATGTTCCTTAACATATGTACGTAATTTCGGTATATATTACTACTTTTTTATTATAAAAATTCCTTTAATGTTATTTATCGACCAGCTTTTTAAGCGATAAATATATTTAATTATTGACTATACTACATTCATAATTAATAAGTATAATCTCATCGAATAAATAGTCAAACTTCTCAATAGACTTTTAATTGGTCATTATCGTCAAATCCAGCACTGTGACCTGCATTGCGTACAATAAAACTTGTTCCATCGTAATGCATGCGCCGTTCTCCTCGGCGTACAAATAAATGAGATGTTTGACCCAATGAGGCTGTGCAATGTAGAAACGGAGTTGTTAGGGATGCAGTTCCATTGCTAGGTGATGTTCGTAACTGATATTTGTTGCTATTACGTCCAATTCTGTTAAAAATGATAAGGAATTTATTGCAATTAATTATATTTTCATATGACTCTTTAATAGATTTATACACTTATCAATAAATAATTAACACTATTTTATGATAAAAAAAAATATATATATATATATGTATATAACTAAAACAGGAGACAGAAGAAAATATGTAAATAGAAACACACCTGACAAGTCCATCTGGAGTCTGAGAAATTCTAACATTATTGATGATCCAATTTTCAACACCTTCATCTGTAATCCAATATTGCGAAGCTCCGAGAACTGTAGTCGCTTCTTGTAAGCACGTCGATCCATGTCGCGAGCCGGAATAAAAAACACTTAAAGAAATGTCCTAAAATAGTATAAAAATAAACGACTAATATAATTAAGATCATTAGATTTGCAAGATCGTTAATCTATTATATACTTGACTCATATCCAAAAACGAATCAGTAGTCGTTCTTGTTCCCGCTGTATCCACTAAATATACAAGAGCACATTGTTCACATGTAAAACTAACACCCTTGTACCACATCTTTGCATATCTATCAGAACCAGTAAAAATTATAATTGATTATAATGTCCATCTTTTTCTATAATCTTTCAGAGATAACTAACTTATTATTGCCGTGTGTATCGTGAGCTAGAATTTCAACGCGCGATCCATATTGATATATTCTTCCATTCGGATGTAGTAATGCAGAGGCTGTTCCAGAACAACTTAACGAAAGCACGATATTATTCTGCACTGACGAAAGATTTAACAGATATATGTAACAATGGTGTCAATATTCTTTTCTTTAATACATTACGATCCAGGCTGTTTGCGCGAAAAAACTTTTACGCGTAGTCTGTAATGTAGCCTGTGTGTAAAATATAATGTCTGTATTTTCCTTTATAACACACACATTATATATACATATATATATTGTATGTGTATGTATATTGTAACACATATTTATAGGTCAATGGCATTTAATGCACAATGTATAAAATCCTATTTATATGTCTCCGGTATTTTACGAGCAAAAACATATTTTTATGTCTCCGAACGATAATGTGTTAATATAATCATCAGTAAAATTTATAAGGGATCATTATAAAGTGAGAACTGTTGTTCATCGATATCACCGAAGCGAATATTTGTACAAAATGATAAGCGCACCTTAAAATTGATCACTCTCACAGCACGATCAACCGTCATATCAACTCGAATCCTATTGCGGAGTCTCAAGGAGATGGTACCGTGTGGTGTTGTAATGGCACCTCCGGAACCCGCATCTGTTTCATGTTCTCTCCAATTTTCCGTATAAACACAGGGCTCCTCATTCGCGTAATAAGGAGCAGCGATTGTTTTAAGATTTCTTGGCTGTCTCCAAATTGCCGGCGAACTCGAATAAGTAGTTGTACCCGTCATACCAGTCCATTGATCCGCTGGTGGTGTTTCAAAATACTTGGAAAATTCACTGTATCGCTGAAAGTTCGTTCTCGGACGATTACGAAAGAGGTAACACGAGAATGTGGCTACCAATAGACAGTAGAGAAGTCAAAAAAAAAACAGAGAAAAAAGAGAAGTGAAACTTACAGATATAAATATACATACTTGAAAGTTAGTGTCCTCGGTTTGAGCGTGATAACTGTGAGTCGTATAAAGTGATCGTGGTCGCATTGGCGTTGTTGGGACACTTTGAGTTTGAATCGTAGTCATGGAACATGCTGGTAATATAGCCGACTGTGGACCCCCTGGCGCGATACGCTTTTGCATATCCTTGCGGAATTCTCCACAAGGATTTGTCATGATCCTCCCCTATGATATATATGTATATAATTAACATAGAAAAATTATTAGTATTATTATTATATCGTCATATTTTGGGGCATTGTTGAAAAATATAAAAAAAAAAAATTCTTTTCTATCAAAACCTAATGGATACTTAAATTATGTGGAAACTGTGTTTATGTGTATATAAAAAATAAATTTTAGATAAACCTTGGAATCACTAGTCACGCTTTTCGCTTTTTTGCGACGAGCATTTCGGTGTTTGGGCACCACCGTTTGGCTACCTTCGTTTATGTGATCCACGGCTGGTGATTTTTATCCTTGACTCTAAACTTTATATTTTCTCTTTGAACGACCTTCGACGTTGTCTTCTTTCTCTTTATCTAAGTATGTATATGTTATATTTACGAGAAACCTCAACCAAAAACTATCATATGCTGCTCTGGTACTTTCTTCGTTTCTCCTTTTTTCTTTATACGATTGTCTTGTGATTCTAGAAAAAGGACGCGAGTCAAGCAAAGAAAAATCGAGACTGATAGATAATAATCTAAAAGGAGATCATTCTAAAAAAACGATATTCCGCTAACTATCTTTATGATAGAAAACAAATGAAAAATTTGATTGTTCGTTGCCCTTGACGATCGTAAGAAGTTAGATTACGCGATTTATACATTTATATATTATATATGTATATATATGTATATATATATCTGTATAATATGCACATAATCTCGGAAATAAATCGGTCAGAGACGTGACTTACTTCGCCTTCTTCCAAGTGTCGCATTATTCGTATTAAACGCTCGTTATTATAGTTGGCTTGTTACATCGTCATCACGCTGTAATGTTAGTATCTACCAGTCTCAATCTATGGCAATTTGTCCAATGACATTTGATAGAATAATGATATAAACAAAATTAAGATAGGGCATTTGGTACAATCGTATATATATATACACACCCACACACACACACATATATCTGTGTGTAGGTATATATCAAAAAATTTCTTCGTAAAAGAAAGACATCTTTATGAGTTCTGAGATAATTACAAAGACGATAAAACTAATAAAAATTTTTCGACATTAATTCAAAATATTGACGTATTAATAATTAGTTCAATAATTAGTTTCATAATAATTAATTTCTTAAACTCTTTTAATGATCCAATCTTTAATGATCCAATTTTTAATCTAATTTAATCTACGTTAAAACGTTCATCGTTTAATATATCTAAAGTAATATTGTATTATATAAAGTATATAAGTAATATAAACTATATAATGTAATATTGTATTTATCAATATTTATATTGAACATATAATTATCTGTATTTAAATTATACTTAAATAAATAATATCAACAAACGTTCGTTTAGAACACACACAGTAATATTCTATTATTAAAGTAGGATTACAATATTATGATTCGTTCAAATTTTTTAATCGATAATGTTATCTCAATGTGAAATCATGAATTTCATCTTGTATGAATACTACGAATACGACAAAGAGAATGATTGTTTACCTTGAACTTGAAGATCATAAAAATTAGTTTATTCTTTCTTTGTTCAATGTTTAAAACGTAATTTATACTGCAATAATGATATTATCACTAATCAAATATCATTAATTATATCTATATATCATACACATAATATACTTTATTTGATGTAATTGTATGATGATCGTAACTAATATTGATCGTATTTTTTTTTATTCATTGTATATATAAAACAAAAAATAAATATAAAATAATACGTTCACATGTAGTAATCTAATAATAAAAGATTATATTATATATCTAAGTATATAGCACGTATGTGCAACACTTCGATATCTATTTTATTATTAACAATTTATAATATATATATATATATATATTTACACAGCACACATATATATATATATATCTCAATATATAGTAATTTACATTATGTTCATCATTCTCAATCCTATTACAAAACTTTCCTTATGTGTAGTCATTTCTTGTGTATGGTGGGGATGCGCGATTTATCTACTCGCGCTTGTTTAAAAGCTTCAATTGGCGCGCATACAGCACGCGTAACTCCAAAGTTTATATTTTACGTACTCGTTAAGCAAAAGTCTGTTTATAAAACAATTAATTTCTTTTCATTTTATTAAAATGAATTCTTTATTATTTTTCACTTTTTTAATTATTTTAAAATTAAATTTAACTTTAGGTAACTTCATTTCACATATCATTATTTTTTTGTATCCTATTATTCATAGAGTTGACGAGTATTATGGACTGTTAGTTGCATCATCATGCTAAAGCCATTTTTGAAATTATAAAATGTATATATTAATTTTCTTATGACTTCATCATATCTTTACGAAATAATACTACTTATATTTCAGAATCTCCTGTTTCAAGTGACGATGTTAAAGAAAACGAAGCGTCACATAATTACAAAATTAACGAAGATACTTTGCGTCTTGTTATAGCGGTAAGTTTCACATGATAATATTATGCTTAAAAGATTAAGAAATTAGAGATACGAAAAACATGTGCTCAATTTAACTCTTTACTTATCGTTATTGCAATAATTAAGTGATATGCATAAATTAATTTGTTAAAAATATGTGTGTATGTGTTATACATATATATATATATATATATATATATATATTTTTTTTTTTTTTTTTTTTTTTAATAGAAAATATATATACATATACATATTTGCAATAAATAAAAAAGTATATGTATACATTTCCTTTATAGTTATTTAAAAATTTTGTATATCTTTTTTTTTTCTTTTTCTTTACATCAGTTTCATTCGCATGATTTCATATACACTATATAATCTTTATCCATTTATCATCAATGATAAGAATCGGCAATAAGGTAGAATGTCGTGTTCCACGATGAGTACATGTGGCCTCGTTTACGTAAGAGACGTAATTAAATTGATTTATCATTATTGATAAGGAAAAAAAAGGCCATTTATATACTATTACGGACAAAAAAAATTAAGCATATATGAATATTGTATTAACGTACTATTGTTTTTCTAAATTTTAGATTATGCGTCATGGAGAACGTGCTCCCCAAGATACTTATCCAAATGATCCTTATGTTAAGGATACCATGAAACCATATGGTTGGGGCCAATTAACAAATGTAAAAATACTTTTTTTTCTTTTATTTTTTTTTATTTTTTTTTTTTATTAATATTACGCTTCTTTTTTTTATTAGAATTTTGTAACGTATAAATATTACGTCCCTTATATTTTTACGAATCTAGGTAGGTCGAGTTAATCAATATAATCAAGGAATTTTTTTAAGACAACGTTATAATGAATTTTTGGGTCAGACTTATAGTCCTGATATATTTTATTTGCAATGTACCTCTGTCGATCGTACTAAAATGTCAGCTATGTTAGAAGCAGCTGGCCTATGGAAACCGACTAAAGAGCAATCTTTCAAAGCTGATTTTCCTTGGCAACCTGTTACATTATTTTATCAAAGACGCTCAGAAGATACTGTAAGATAATTTTGTTTCTAATATATATAAATATATACTAATAAATTTTTATTGATTCTTCTATATAATCTTACGAATTATTAGCTTATGTTAATATGGGATACGTGCCCTAAATATGCTCAAGCGCGTAATACTATATTACAATTACCAGAAGTTCAAAATGTGCAGAATGAAAATAAACAACTTTATGAAGAATTAACAAATTTAACTGGCATGACTATTGAATCTCCTGAGGATGTTAGTTCATTGTACAGCACATTAAAAGCAGAGGTACGTGAGGAAAAATATTATAAATTATAAATGTGTTATTTTACCTCGTTTAACGTTAAGTACTGACACTATTAATAATAAGATAAAAATATTTACTTTTAGGAAACAATGAAATTGACTTTACCTGACTGGACTAAGAAATATTACCCTGATAAATTAATACCCTTAACATTGTATGATCTTAAACTTAACACATATAATGATATGCTTAAGCGGCTTAAAGGCGGCCCATTGCTTAAAAAGATCGTTTATGATATGATAGCCAAAAAAAAAGGAACTTTACATCCTGAAACAAGAAAAATGTTTATGTACGTAGGGCATGATAGTACTGTGGTAACTTTGCTTGATGTATTACATATTTGGAATGATCAAATGCCAGAATATAATATTATGACTCTGATAGAGCTTCATGAAGATGCCTATGGTTGGAATGTTCAGGTAATTATTCCACTTGTAAAGAGAGATATCATTATTTCTGTTAATACAATTATATATATATATATATATATATTTTTCCATAAAAGGTATTTTTAAGAAATACAACTACCCATGAACCATACCCAATGACTATACCTGGATGTGCCACGATTTGTCCAATAGATAAATTTATAAAAATCTTGGAACCAATGATCCCTAATAATTGGAAGGATGAATGTAAAATTGAAGGAGAATATATTTTACCACCGGCACCGGTACCATAATTATAAAAGATTATATATAGAAATTATATATAGAAATGAATTTATCTCTAATAATTTTTAAGCAGAAAAATTTAGTATTATTTATAAATATAAAAATATTTTATACCTTAACTCGACAATGCATTATTTATCGTTAATATACAGGCTGTGATTATAAATGGATTAAATTTGATAAACTCTTTTAGAATCTTACTGACTTAACTTAATAAGTTATCTAGAACATATTATAAAGAAAAAATGACTTTTATAGTTATTCCTAATAAACATATTTTAAGTATTATACATACCTCATTAACTGTATATTATCTCATTTTAATGATACTTTAATGTTTTCATTATCCAGTTTGTAATCTTTATTTTCATCTGAAATAATTAAATACATGTATTTCTTGTCTCTTTTTGTGTATACTATAAGAAGCAATATCTAACCATATCTCATTTATAAAAATATAAATGTATATATATTTAGAGAGGATTATAATTTAAATATAATTTTGGCACGAACATGGTATGTATGTATGTATATATATATATATATATATGTATATATATTTTGGCACCAGCATGGTATATATGCATATATAAATATATATATATATATATATATATATATATATATACACATATCATGCTGATGCCAAAATTATATTTAAATATAGGAGAAATACATCTTCTCTTTTTATTATGTTATAATCCTCTCTAAATATATGCTGATCTCTTTAAATTATTTCCAATAAGAGTTCTTTTTTTAGCCTTATTCCTTAAAAGTTAAAATATTATAATTATATATAATTAGTATAATTTTCAAAGCTATAAAGTATTTAAATTAAAATGTAAACTTATTTTTAATTATTTTTAATTATTAAAACTTATTTTTAACTTATACTTATTTTTAATTATTAAAATACTTACTTTTCTTGTTTTTCTTCAATTTCTTCATATCTTTTTTCTAACAGTTCTCCATAAGACTTACTTTTATCTTATTTCTAAATTTTTAAATCACTAATTGCAAGATTATCTTATCCAAAAAATTATATATATTGGCTTTCTTCATATATATCGTTGTAATCAACTGATAAGGCCTCTTATATAATTCAGTCGAATACAAATTTCCCATTGCTCAATATTCTAACACGATGTCTCATCTTGATAAAATCAAAATGGCATTTCTTAAGAGCTTCCACTTCTTCTTCTTTATCTTTATCTTTTATTTTACTTATTTTTAATTATTAAAATATTTTTCTTGTTTTTTCTCAGTTTCTCCATATCTTTTTTCTAATAGTTCTCCATAAGCCTTATTTTTATCTTATTTTTAAATTTTTATATCACTAACTACAGGATTATCTTATCCAAAAAATTATATATACTGTCTTTCTTCATATATATCGTTGTAATCAACTGATACAGCCTTTTATATAATTCAGTCAAATACAAATTTCCTGTTACTCAATCTTTTAACACGATCTCTCATTTTTAATTAAATTAAAATAGCATTTCTTAAGAGCTTCCACTTTTTCTCTTTATCTTTATCTTTTATTTCTTTTTCACATGAACTTTGATCATTTCTGCATCTGCTTCATAATACATACAAATTTTAACTCTATATGTAGATTAAAATCTAACAAATATAATATATATCAAATACATTCTAACTTACTGTTTATTATCATCTTCAATTAGACAATTAGAGTGAAACAAAAACGAAGGTAACATAATGATTTTTAATCAAGTATATTTAAATTGGAATAATGAACGAATAACTTTATTAATATCACATGAAGATGTGGGACGGAATATTACAAGCAATAAACTATAATTATAAAAAATATAAATGGATAACTTAACCTTACTTTTAATGTCATTAAAAGTCATGCGCCCTATGAAACGATGCATAAAGAGTGTTATACTGTGTTCCTGAAATAAGACACTATCTATCAGCGCCAGAGAGTGGATACGTTCAATTTGTGAAACAAAATGCGTCTTAACGTTATGTAAATTCATTAAGACTAGATGATAAAAAAAGAAAAGAAAAAAAAGAAAGAAAAAAAAATAAAGAATATCGATTAATCATAAGTCTTGATATTTTAAAGACGGAAAAATATTGAAAGAATCATATAAATAAATAAAAATATACGTGCATGATATTTCAATAAAGAACTATATAAAATGCGATCTTTTCGAATTGTCCAAGAACTTTTGAGAAAAAATAAAATATTATGCAAGATTAATATATCGACAAAATCTTAATAAATTATTATATAATTTATGAAAATGATTAGATGATGAATTATCTAAATGTCGATTTGTAATTCATCTCGTATGCGATTGATCCATAAAATGAAAGCGAAATAAAGAAATATCTTTTATTTCTATAAATTTAATTTGTAATTCATCTCGAACAGGATGAACGTTATATTCTCGGTGCAATAGATGCACTGAAAATGATGAATAGACATCCGATGCAAAATTATCTGAAAGCAGCTAAGAGCACTATTGAATGAGGCATACAAACCTGAGGATTCCATAGATTTCGTTCCTCGTCTTATCAATCCCATTATTCTTGTTTCTCTCTTTCCCTTTCCTTCCCTCTTATTATTGTTCGGTAGATTCAATAAATAACTGACCTCTTTTGCCATTACTCTTTGTCCTATTCCCTTTCTAATATCATCTATTTTGCCGATACAAAAACATATATTTCAATAACCAGTTACATATCCTTGTGCCGTATGACAACTAATTACAGGACAACGATTTCGAGATTTTTTTTTTTTATGAGCCCTGATAATTCTATATAAATACATTTCTACATCTATAAAGAATGTTTTGTTCTTTCAAAAAGAGAAAAAAAAAACCTTTTTATAAAACATGATTAAAGATCTCTTTGATCAGTTTTTTTTTTTTTTTTAAATAAATTGATCGCCAATATATTAAAATGTTGATTAATAGTCGAATTGAATGTTTGTATGTACTATAATCTCTGTATAAATACGATTCAAACTACAGCTTTACATCGTAAACACAGACGTACTCTCGATTGTGTCTGTCCTGATACAGAGTGGTACTACTTGCTGGTTTGGCCTATCAGCCAACCATTAGTCAATACTCGATACACGCTTTTAATCATTACTAACTCCATTGTTATAGTTATAACGATTATCCGGTATAAAATTTACGATCTTCTGTCATCGATAATATCGTTTATTATTCGATTATATCTAATAATTATTCTCTTTTGAAAAAATAGATATCTAATTTGCATAATTACATTTTCTTTTATTTTCCTTTATTTTTCAATATTTCCACATTGTTGAAATAAAAATTAGTTAATGAAAAATCTCGACAGTTTAAATCGAATATTAAAGTTAGCGAATAGAGAATTGAAAGATGATTGATATGATTTATTAATTATAGTTTTGAAATAAAAGAAGAATAAGAGTAAGTAAGAACGGGAGGAGGAGGAGAGGAAAGACAAAGGGGGAGAGATAGGGCAAGCAGTAAGGCTTAGATACGCAGTTAATGTCGCATTACGGTGCAAGTTGCATAAGGACGTGCATCGTTCGGACTATTTCTTCTACTTTGGAACGACGAAAAAAATTTTTGACATGACCGAAACCACGGAAGAAGCTAGAGTAAGCAATAATTAAGAATATATATAAGAAACTAAGAAACTTAATAAATTAATTATGTTTCTTTTTAATTCGATATTAAAATAATTATCATTCAAATGATTCAATGATTTGTATTATATTACTATTAAGGAATTCATTTTAAGTAAAACTATTGCATGACTATACTAATTGAGTAACGAAATAGGATTTGTAACAGTTTTATAGAAATTAAATACTTATCTCGTAAACTTTAAACGTAACTTTTTTAACAAAACTTTTCGAATGAGTTTTGTTTACGAACTTTCATAGTGAATCCCCTTTCTTTAAACGTTATCTAAAAAAACAGGAACAAAGTGCATTTTAGTGCGATCGCATGCAACGAAGAGGATAATAAAGTTGAGATAGGTCAGCAATTTGCGTAGAGGGAATATATATTCACAAGTGTATTTACATGCTACAGATATGTACAAATCGTCGTTCAAAATTACACCCCCTCATACATAGGTTCATATGTTATTCAAAGGAAAATACTGTAGAATATTACGTGTTTCACGTACATATAACATGTGGCGTGAGTATATTATTCGATTTTAGTAACAGATAACTTACTAATCCGAGTTATGCTTATTCGTGTAGTAGCTCGATTTATTTAATGCATTTGCTTTTGATTAAAATCATGCATTTTAACGTTAGTTCGATATATATTATAATATCATAAAGGCACCAACAGTTATGTTTATAAATTAATCACGATTCATGTATTGTAGCACGTTTTATGTTTTACAAATAATAAATCATTTCTTTATGAAAGGAAAATTTATGACGATATATTAAATAGATGTAATTTATGATTTGAAACTATACATTTATATAAAAACGTATGTATATTGACAAGGAATATATGCACTTTATTTTACTTTTAACGATAAATAATCTGTTTTAGTAGTCTTTTTTTTTTGATATTTCATAAATATAAAATTTGATAAAAAGTTTCATCGCATAATTTTTCTAATTCAGGAATTTGTTTATATTATAATACAATATAAAACTGATCCATTAAGAATTAATAGTTTTTATAAATACAAACTACAGATAAATCTAAAATAAAACAATTTTATTTGACTTGATGGATAATCAAAATAAATGTAAACAAACTCATTAAAAAGCAAATTTTGACCATTCTGTTCAAGACTTCGGGGAAAGTTATATATTATTTTTAAGCTCAGATGTATATCATTTGGAGTAACGTTAAAACAATTTTATATTTTTACTAAGAAAGAATTAATAATAAGATATTCACTTTGTTAAAATAAAATGGATTTAATAAGAACAAAAGTTAAAATATTTAAGCTCACCTATTTGTAAATATGAAAAATTATGATCAACCACATTTACAAATACTTCATTGTGAAAGTTTAGCTGCGAGAAAAGACACGCTGTAATATCGACTAGTAAAGGTAGAATTGCGAGGAAATTCCCACGTAGAAGACACGAAGGATACGTGGAAGGGTGGTGCCAGACACGAAATAGTGGTACTGTTAACCCACCCGTTCCTTCGAAACGTCGTCTATCCACGAGAACTTTCCGATTTCAGTCGTCACAATACCTACACCATTCTTAGCAGTGATACTCGAGTACGATCATCTATCGGTTCTTACTTATTTAAACATGTTCGTCCAAGGACCTGGTATGGTCCAAGAGAGATCAGACAATTCTGATGAGGAAAGCGAGGATGAATTTTCCGGTGACATTGTTCAGGTCGAATTAGTCAAATTTCAAATTAAAATCGAACAATTATTTATTTATCGATTTATTTATTCTGTAGAATTAGAAGACCGATCTCAATTATTTTGACAATCCACGATCATTATTTTTCAGAAACGACGCGAAGAATGCGAGAGAAAGGCTAGGCGGGGAGAAATGGATCCTCGTTTGGAATTTGCTTTTCAACTTTTGATGGATGCGACACAGTTAACACGTCACGAGATAATGGACCATGTTTTCGAAGGTGATATGCTAGATGAAATCAATCAACTGTTTTTACCTCACACGAGGTCAACTCTCGTTTGGTTTTACCAAGAGGTCGTTGAAATGGAACCTTCGCGTCCACTCGAAACGGTAAATTTATACTTTTTTTTTATAAGTATATTACAATTACGTGTATATACTAATTGTAATTATAATTAGTAATTAAAATTGATTTAATAGGTGCAAATGAAATCTACAGGTGCTCGAATCGTTGCAAATACGTCAATGTCGAAAGTAAAAGAATTACAAAAGGAAACGAAGGAAGCAACAAAAAAGAAACTTTTTTTAACCGATGGCTGGCAAGTTCCTTGTACAGGGATTTGTATTTACATGTTTCGGTATTTATTTTGTTTTTTCATATTAGTTAATGTTGCAAAAATTATATTCTACTTTTTTTATTCTTCATCCTTTAGAATTAATCTTTCAAAACAATTACCTGAAGAAGGATTTCAAAAGGATTTGTACACAGGCATTATAGATACTATGAAGATCGGCATCGTACCATCGATTCAACGTATCGTTGAAAATGTTTTTATGGAGGCATTGGCACACTCAGTTGGAGAAGGAGAAGATGATTGTCCAATGATAAAAACTCTTTTGTTACCTGGTCTTAGATCATTTTGTAGCGCTTTAAAAGGTAATGAACTAAGTTATCTTTATTTAGACAACTGATTAAATATTTTCTAAATATAAAACAAATGTATTAATTCTTTTTCTTAAAGTATGCGAAGATGTAGCTTTGGAAGGTAATATATTCGACGATGGTGAAAATATAATGATGAACGTCCATAATTTTGAGGAAGCAAAAGTTTTCATGTCTAAAGAAAATGCCGTAACTAAAGTTGAGGAAAGAGTAAAAGTATGGATAAAGAAATTAAAAGATTTCATGGCGGAGAGTAAGCAAGTTAAAAGAGAGAATGACAATTCCGGGCCGCAACAAGAATTGGAATATTGGAAACGAAGAGGAGCGCAATTTAGTCAACTTGTTTGTCGATTACAGGTTCCATATTAATTTTTCTTTTTGTTTTTCTTTTTTTTCCTAAAGACTAAAATCTTAACGTTTTATCTTTATTATAATAAACGAATTTATTTTGTTCTCAGGATCACGAAGTGCGTATGTCACTTTTGTGCTTGCAAATAGTTCGCTCGGCTTACATTAAAAATTGGGTTGACACCGAGGACGAAGTGACTTATTGCTACAACGAAGCAAAAGATAACGCGAAGTT